TTATATATATTTAGGGGGGGGTTTTCCGATGGGTTAAGGCGGAAAATGCGTTATAAAGTACAAATATATATATTGCAATATATTGCACTTTTTTTTCCAGTGATAAAAATAATTCCATTAGTGAGAGATATAGTGAACTAATGAAAAAAAATAGTCTGGCTAAACTGTGAGTAACCATTGCCCTTATTTTCGCAGTCTGGCGGGGCTTTCGTGATTGTAAATAACAGCCAGACGTGTATTTTCTACGAAATTATAGTATTATTTATCATGTGACAAATTTTCAAATCCGGGAAAATAAGAGCAAAATTTTTGTAATTCTTACGATTTTCTTGATGCCGCCAGAACAATTTGCCAATTTCATAAATCAGCCAGACTTAATTTTGATTATAGTTTATGACAGTACCAAATAATGGGTTAAATTTTAAGCATGGGAAAATAAGGGCTACGTATTTCAAAAACCGGTCAAATTTTTGCTTCCGCAAATTTTCAGCCAGACTGACTTTTCTTCACTTGGGATGTGCCAGACTGTTATTTCCATTAATAAAATGACTCACTTTAATTAATGTGAAATATTTATGACTGGGAAAATAAGTGGACTTGACTTTTTGGCTCATCTAGTGAACCCATCCGAAAATTTTATCCAGACACCCAAATTGTCGTTTTTTGTCACCATTTGAACAAACTTAATGACATTCACAAACTGGGAAAATAAGAAGATAAAAATCTTCACTGCCTCCCGGACTATTATCTTGAATGTACTGAAGTAATTGGTATACGGCAAATAGACCATATTTATCTTAACAATATGACATTTTAAATACTAAAACTAAAATTTTAATGTATTTTATGTAAAAAAACAACCATTATTTGACATTTTGTGTCGTTTATTTTAATTATTGAATTATTGAAACAAAGTAAACAAGTTTCGGTATTTTTTATCCAAATTAAGTACACAAAATTTAATGCATTGCATAATTTTGCTTTTTTCTACCTTAAATTTATTAAATCGTATTAAATATCGAATTGAATTATAGTATTATTGTGCTTAATCCTCATCATCGTCGTAGGGGAGCGCCGGGAGGGTTTGGACACTGGGAGGCATTGGACACATTCATAATTACCGCCTAATTAAAGAAAGGGTGAAAACAAAAACGTAACTAAAAGCGCATTTGAACGTCCCTGATATATGTCTTAAGCGAAGCAATCACGTCTTTTCGTTTCGCGGCACTGCCATTTTCCTATTTATCCACGTGTTCATTCCAATATTACCAGTTGTAAACTCTGCTTTTAACAAACTAATTTTGAGATTTTTTGGTTGCTTGATTGATTACCAGTATAAGGAAAACTTTAAAAATTATAGGGTATTGTTACTTTGAAAATGTATATACATAATTTATAATATTTTGGGTTTTATTAATCGAACTACGTTGCGGGAGGGTATGGACGACCGTCCAAAGAAGTCGTTGTAGATAGCTATAACGTGAAATTAAAAAAAAAACAAGTGGCTTCCAACCACATCATTTGTGTCATATGAGGAAGTGATTTTGAAACTATCAAATCCTTTAACAGACCGAAGTGTGAGATATGGACATGATATATTTTAATGTCGATGTTACCGAGTACAGCTTACGTTAATGCTAAAGTTATTGATTATTAAACAATTTTTTATTAAATATTTTATTTGTTTTTAAAGTGTTTTTTGTCAAACAAATGTTTTTCATAATATATTTGCTTAATTATTGTTTGTCCAAACCCTCCCCATCGTTGGGGAGGGTTTGGACATAATACATAAAAAAAAATATAAGTATTTATTTCATGCCTATGTCATGTTTTTTCAAAAAACAAAAGAAAACTGTATGTAAGAAACATGTATCAACCAGTCTGACTACAAAATTTTAGTTATTTTTTATACATGTCCACGCCATAATTATTTATTTAAATATTGTCCAAACCCTCCCGGCGCTCCCCTACATCTTTTTGCTGCAAATTTCAGCAAAGTTCTCCTAGCAATGAATCCAACTTCTTTCGGCTATACCCATAGATATCTGCCAATGCTCTAGATTTGCAGTTACTTGGTAAAATCGTTCTCCATGTTCATAAGTTCAATGACAGCTTTAACACTGACATATGCGACAAGTTCGTCAACTTTTGAAGCATTTTTGAATGCTTGATCTTTCATTAAACGTCATATATAAGGTACATTTAATATTCCTGCAAAATTAAAGTAGTAGGTATATCTCATAAAATTTTGTATTAAAATATTGCGTTGGTTTTTCTTGGGCGTAAAGGTACCGCAACAAAAATAAAACAAATTTACAACGACGACATAAAGGTTCGTCTCCTTTCTCTTTCTCTGCCATTACCACTTCTATTTCCTGCTCTATCACCGACTTTGTAAACACAAAAAATATCATAAAAACCAGACGATAGAGCAGAAACACTGCGCTCTTATTTAATATGTCTATGGTAAATATGTCGGAAAAAAGGATGTTTTAGAAAAAAATTACCATAGTCATTGTTTTTGCATGAATCGTTTGAGGCTCATAAGAAAAGGTTGCCCTAACTTTGCAGGTCCTACCCTCCTGCGGATTAGGGTAAAAACTCATTTTTTTGTTTTTATTTTTCTTCTTTCTACAATTTTTTTGTGACTCCACCTCAGTCACTCCAGTAGTTATTGAGATAAGTATATGGGTCACCTTACGTGGTTTAGCTTTGGTATAAGGTGACCAAAGCGGCTAAAGCTCGGGTGCGTCGGATCGAAAAACGCCAAAGGACTTTTCGTCTTAGAATGCCATCCCCTTTTCCATTAATTTTGCAACACCCTTTATAATTTATCATATTACATTAAAGTTATTAAATAAAATCATCTTTAAAATTGAAAAATTACAATTGCAGAGTGTAATATTCAAGCGGAAAGTGTTCACCACCCTAAGCTACAATTCAAAACGAGAACGAACAAACATACATTGTTGGCTTAGTACACATCTAAAAAATTAGCCAATGGCTAATAACTAGTCATCGACTAAAAATTGTTGTATATACGGCCATAATAGTTATATGCAGGACCGGCAGCTTTTCATTTTGACGTGTGGTGCTCATCTACAGTTGGTTGGTAGCAATGGTTAATGGATGGGGGGTGTGGGTGTTCTTTCCCTTGGGGGTTGCGGGGGAAGGAGAACAAAATAAAATTGGAATAGTTTTTTAGTCAATTTATTTATCAAACATTTTATATATAGGGAAAGTCTTTTTAACTTTGAAATATCTCGCGTAATAAGCACACTACTAATTTTTGCACTAATATATCCCCCCCGGAATGATTAAATTTAGTTTAAATAGTTTTTTCGACAGTGCTTATTACGCCAGATATTTTAAAGTTTCAAGTTAAAAAAATCACCCTGTAATGAAATCGAATGGGATAGGTATATTACTGCCACATCGGACGTTTTTAGGGTTGGCATCTGCCACTTTTTGGATTAAGGGTTACCAGCATCAAAAATACGGGTTTAAAATAATCGTTCAAGATTTTTTTTACGAGAGACAATTAAAACGAGTTACTCTAAGATTCGAACTAACTTACATTTGTTGATAAAAAGTCGGGTATCTATCCACTAACACAATTGGTGGTAGCAAACACGAAGTTAGAGATAATAAACAAACCGCACGAACTGTAAATAATAATAATAATATAACTCAATTGAGTTAAACTTTAAAGTTTGGTCGGTTACCGTCGGTATGGTAGAAATACCCAAAATACACGTCGCGACGTGTCGGTATGTTATTCCTACTAAGTATACCAAGATACATATACTTATACATACTATACCGAACGACTTTTATACTTTAAACTTTGGATTCCTCAGCTTCAACAGTAAATTTGTAAAGGGCGTTGGTGTGTATCCCAGGCTAGCAGGATAAAAAATTTAGAGACCGCAAAAGAAATGCAATTTTTCTGCTGAAGATACGTGTGGTGCTGAGCACCACCATTTTCCAATGCGTGTGGTGCTTGAGCCCGCGAGCACCGCTATTGTCGCCGGCCCTGGTTATATGCTCATGAAGTCTTATTTTTAAGAAAACCACCTCAAATATGCTTTATGTGGAAAATATTCAAGACATAGAGATGCAACTAGAAAAAAACGGTCCGTTTTTTTTTTGTTTTTTTTTTTTCAGGTTTTTTTTCATTGTATTTTTTCAAATGGTTTTTTTTCACATTTTAGGTTTTTTTTCAAGATTAGTCCCATTTGCCTAATTTTTTATGTTTCCATGGACTAAAATTAGCCACTAAATGACAATTAGTAAATGTAAATACAGTATCGCGCTATGCACGCGCCACAACCATCGATTTGACCAATAAGGGCCGCGCTTGTTTTGATTTGGTCCTAAAAAAAAGTAACTACATATAATATTTTTGATTCAGCGCTTGATTTTTCAAAAAGCTACCAAAAGCACTTTTTTCATGATTTTTCAAATTTATGTAGAGTATGGAATTTTTTTTTCTTCAAAAAACAATAGCAAATTCTTGTAGAACATTTATTCATTGGTGGTTAAGTCAGAACATTCCGTGGACCAAAAAAGAAAGCAAAAAAAATCGATTTTTTTTATTACGATATTCGTTGGAATTAAGCGTTGCACGTTTTTCATCTAAAAATCTCAAAACTATAAACTTCAAGCTTCAAATTGCTTTTTTTACGGCTCCAATACGACCATTTTTAACAAAGATACAGCTATCCGAAAAATCGCAAAAAAAAATTTTATCCTTTAATTTTTTAGTCTTGGTCAAAATTTTCATAATGAAAAATGTAATATATTCTACATTTTACTCAAAATTTCATTTTGAAAAAAAACCGTTTTTTTCTAGGTTTTTTTTTCATGTTTTTTTTCACATCTGAAAAAAAACCGTTTTTTTACATCTCTACATAGAGTATTCTATTCCTAAAAAATGAATGCCTAGGTAGCTAGTTTTTTTTCATTGATTTAATTAATTAGTCATTTTAATATTTTAGCCACAACACCCCATAATTAAAGCCAAAACTCTACAACAAATAATGAAGGAATATGATTACCCATTTTCAGTTGAAAGAAGCTTAATATAAATAATATATCCTACTTATAAATTTGGGACTGATTAAAATTTGTATTACCAATTTATCAATGATCATTGAGAAACCATTAGAATAGATTGAGCCCACTTTCAAACTAAAATGAAGAAACTTTTGTTAATTATAAAATAATACATTTAAAGTAATATTTAAAAATGACTTATTGCCAGATTCACAATTTTAAGAATATAGCGTGATTTTTTAAAATTACTGTGATAAAATTTAATAAAAATGTTTACGCAAACCAGTTTAAAATTAATAAATAATGTTATTATCAATATCTTAATTTTTTTCTTACTTCAATTGGACTCAAGTCATATATTGAAAACGAATTTACCAAAAGATTCTTGAAGATCAAAGTAATTACTTAACTAGGTTAAATTATACAATTTAAAATAAAAACTTTTACAGCATTGGTTTCACCTTATTAGGTTTGGAAATTATGAAAATGAACTGATAGATTATAGCCATTTTAAATTACAAAAATAAATTATACATAATTTTTTTTTGTTTAGTTTGTATTGTTAGTATAATATTTTAAATTTAAATTTAATCTACCAATAATTGAAAAGTGGAAATTTAAAAGCGTATAAGTGACATAAAAATTATACTAGTTACCAGTTAAGTAAATCATTTTTAAATTTTAAAATAATCAAAAGTTGATTATTAAATTTCCTCTATTAGGTATTTAAAGAAAACTCAACAAATTTATTAGGCAAAATTATTAGGAAAGCATTTTAATTTAAAACCATATACATAATAAACCTTTCCATATATAATAAATATTTAAACTAATTTTCTTTGTTGCTGGCACTTAGATGCTTTTGATTTACCACACTTCAATTCTAGTTTTAAGCAAAACCATGCATACATACTTTAAGTATTGTGCTTTTTATGAAATCTTGTGATTTAATAATTTTATTTTAGTAATATATCATATATTTTATTTCACAAATATTAACAATAATGCATTAGTATATTAAGTTAAAATTGTTAGCCATATAGATTGTCTTGTGGACAGACTATTATATAATATAATATATATTAGTGCCAATTATTTGTAAATAAATAATTTTATGTTTTGTTTGTATTTTTTTCTACTCCTTTTGCATATTATTGACATTATTTGGGTTTTTTCGTAAATAATGGTAACCATTATAAAGGCCCGGCCTAACAACGTGAATAATGAGTTCAATTTTCACGTTGTTAGGCATCAGTGACTATAATGATCTTTAAAATCGGGGAAAAGTGAGGTTATTATATATTTTGTCTCAATTAGTGTAATTTCTTATTTTATTATTGTGGTGCACTGGGAAACACACTACACAGATAAGGTAGATTCATCAGCTTTTATTAAGCAACAAGTTGTAAGTATTGAGTTTAAAGGTTAGGTTTTTAAAATACCGGTAAGTTTGCTTTAGTTAAATTTCAAATGAAAAATACTTATGAGTAAAAAAGTACTTAGTACTTGGCCAGCTCTGTAATACCAATAAAACAAAAAAATTCGCGCATGATCAATTGGTAAAAGTCTGCACAGTCTTGTACAGTGGTTTAACAAAAATAAATTAAGTTCAATTTTGTTATTTTTCGAATAAACAATAGTTACCCAAAATTTAGGTAAATTTAGGTCCTAAATGTACCTGAGCAATCTGTGATAAACAATGAACTTGTATCCTTTGTAAAAAGACACAATGTTTCTGGGTGTCTATATATAAATGAAAATTTAAGTTGGCATAAACATGTTCAACAGATCTGTGATAAACTTAACAAAGTCTTATATAGTTTTAGAGTTTTGTATCAATATGTTAACCTCGACACTTTAAAGATTTTATAACATGCAAATTTTAACTCAATTTTGAGTTTGGGTATAATTTTTTGGGGAAGTAGCAGTGATATTAAAAATGTGTTCATCGTTCAAAAAAGAACAGTTAGCATTAGAATGCTAGGCTTACCTTCAAGAACCTCATGTAGAGGTAAATTTAGACAACTGAAAATACTTACAGTTAGTGGCGTCTATATTTATCAATGTTTAATATTTTTTTGTAAAGAACATCAGTTTTTTTGAAAAATATAAAAAAGTAAAATATTTTTTTTCAGTGGCTGTAAGCGTATGAATAGGATATATCATATTCATAGGCTTACAGCCACTGAAAAAAGTGTTTTATATACATATGTATATTATACTGTTTAATAATTTACCCAGTAATATAAAGATCCTCAGGTCTTGCAAGAGTTTTAAGTGTAAAGTTTTGGATTTTTTGTTAGAATCTGAACCATATTGTTTAAATGAATATTTGTCAGTTGTTTAAATTTCCTGTACGACATATAGGTATTTCTTAAATGTAAATTTTATACATTTGTATTATTACCCGGACAACAATCGGGATTTCCTGGTGAAGTCATGATGATATCACAACGTGATTTTTTTTATCACGCTGTGATATCCTGAGTGCATACACATGCTTCATCACAGTGATATGATGTAGAACTCACGGTGTTATATTTGCAAAATTTGAGCATGCGTATGAGCCCTGCGAACTGCGAATTTAAAACCTAGTTTGTTATTCACATTACACTGTTATAATTTATAAAACATTGTTTGAATATCACGAATGTTGTCCGGCTTCAATTAAAAAAGATATTCCAATGTTTAACAAAACGTAAACGTTTTGTTAAACATTGGAATATCTTTTTTAATTGAACCCGGACAACATTCTTGATATTTATACGAACATTATGTCGTGATTTTCACAAATTTTATTCATACTGATATTATACGGAAGTCACCGCGTGATAAATGAAAATCATACGAACGTCACGTCGTGATTTTATTCATACGAACATCATCCGTGTGAAATGAAAATCATGTCGTGATTTTTTATGCCATCACTGTTTGCGATTGACCGATGGCCTAAAAATCACGACATGATTTTTTATGCTATCGGTGTTTGGGCATAAAAAATCACTACATGATTGTTTATGCCATCGGTGTTTGGATATTTTTTGCGACACATTCGTACATTGAAAGAAAAAGTATGTTAACAATTGAATCAACACTTTAACATTCAATATTTTAAATTAACTATATATACCTAGTTAATTTAAATCCAAGAAAATATTGAATGTATTTAACCGCAAAAACTGTTGATTCAACATAATTTTTCTCTTAGTGTACGAACGTAGCGAAAATATGATTATCCAAACACCGTTGGCATAAAAAATCACGACATGATTATTTAGGCCATCGGTCATGATTTTTATTTCTCACGCAGTGACATCCGGATGATGTCCGTATGAATAAAATTTGTGAAAATCACGACGTGACGTTCGTATGATTTTCATTTATCACGCGGTGACTTCCGTATGATATTTGTGAAAATCACGACATGATGTTCGTATGAATATCACGAATGTTGTCTGGGTAATTACCTTTGCTGAAATAAAGATGATTATTATTATTTATTTCTTTATATTACTTACATAACTTTTTATAGCCGACAAAACAGTTCTTAACTGGTACCGCTAGTCTATAAAATTTGTTTCCATCCAACTAATCCATTCCATTCCATACATTTTCTTACTTACTTTTTCAAAAAGTATCTCTCTTTATTTTTATTTCATTACCTTTTCCAAAATATTAATTTGTATTAGAATACAATAAATTTTGACTGACAACTATTTTGAGAATATCCTTTGTCTATGCTTTTAACAAATTGTAGCCAAATTATAGCCTCTTTGCTAAAAATGTAGTCTTCTTCTTTCTTGGTTGCTCTACGCCTTAATGGTCTTGGAGTCTCCAAGTTGGAGACAGTGTATATACAAAAATCCCAGACGGCTACAGGCTACTACTTTTTGGTCAAAATGGTATACCATTTTGACCAAAAAGTAGTAGCCTGTAGCCGTCTGGGATTTTTGAGAGCCAAAGACGTAGAAATAGCCCAATTGGCTATAAATAGCCCAATCTGGCAACTCTGCATACAGAAAAGAAGAAATATTTTAGTTCTACGTTGCCAAATGCACTAATATTAGAGTAAAATAGTTCTAATGACCCACTTTAAACAAATTTGTTAGGTTAGGTTTTGGATTTTGAAATTGTTTAGCTGAAATTTATATTTAGAGATTTGTGCTCAAAATGAACAACGAAAAGGTTTTAAATCATCATCAACGACTCTTATTTGAAGAATGTTATGATCCATTGGATGAACTACACAAACAAAGAAAAATAACAGCGCATTTATATAATGTTGCTTGCAAAAGGTAACTTAACTTAATCAAATTTACTTATTGCTCACATTTATATTATTTAAGTGAAAGTCGTGACAATGTTTCTTACTTGCTAGAAGAAAATTACAAGAAATATAATACATTGTTTGATAAACAATTGGGCAATTATAATAAAAAAATACAAGATGTTCTTTACACAGAAAATTTAAAGAAAAATGTATTATCATCAAAATTAAACATTAATTTGTATAAAAATGTCATTAAAACTTTACCATGCTCCAACCAAATTAAGTGTACAACATCAGAAAATGTATCTGAATTTGAATTTCAAGAATTTTTGCAGATATTTAAAGATAATTCAATAGCAAATATTAAAATGAATGAAAATAAAGAAAGGAATACATTTATAAACAGTAAGAATTATGAAAACAAAGTTGTGTTAGGAAAAAATAATGAAAATACACAAGAAATGAGTTCCAAGTATCAAAATTGCTTTAAAACTGCAAGGGATGAATTAAATCTGCAAAATTCAAAGAAGAATCAGGGTCCTATAACCTCTTCCAATATTGTAGGACAAAAGAGGAAATTAGGGACCCGAAGAAATATTAATAGTAAATTTATATCACCATTATTATCAAACACTGATAGGTAAACAATATTAAGCCCTAATAAATTACCAATAAAATTAACATTTTTTGTTTAGTAATGAGGAAGTAAAAACCGAAGAATGGCCTTCTGAAATAGATGAAAGACTGAAGAACATTGATCCAAAAATGGTTGAGTTAATTAAATCAGAAATTATGGACTGTGGGCCCAATATACATTGGAATGATATTGCTGGCTTGGAATTTGCAAAAGATGCTATCCAGGAAGCTGTTGTGTGGCCTATGTTAAGACCCGATATATTTACAGGGCTAAGAAGACCTCCAAAGGGTATTTTATTGTTTGGACCTCCAGGAACTGGCAAAACATTAATAGGTAGGATGATTTTTACATTAAAACATAAAATTGTATTAAACATTTATTTTAAAAGCAAAACCATTAAAATAATTGTTACTTAAATGTTCAGAAGTTAGCCCCTATAAATTTAATACCAATTTAAAACGTCTTTGTACACTAAAATAATCCACAACTAAAGATTATTGTTTTAGAAACAAATCAAATTATTAAGGTAACTGTTGTAGTTAACTTACTATTGACTGTTTTTAATCCATCCATTTAAATAAATGGTCTGAAAACATCACTTGGTATTGTGTTAGATATTTTCAAGATATCATATTATATTAATTTTACTTAATAAAATTATAAAAATAGTTTTTCTTTTTTTTAGGTAAATGTGTTGCCTCACAAAGTAAATCAACATTTTTTAGCATTAGCGCATCTTCATTAACATCAAAATGGGTTGGTGATGGTGAAAAAATGGTTAGGGCATTATTTACTGTAGCTAGGGTACATCAGCCTGCTGTAAGTACAAAAATTTAATTTTACAAGTAGGTAGCTAGACGGGGTGGTCCAGTTTATATTATCAGAATATTTAAGCTGATAGTTTATCAAAAAATAAAGGTAAGTTATTTAAAAACTATTGTCCAATTTTGCCCACTCTTTGAGACACAGGGTGTTGCAAGTTATAATTATGTTTAGGTTTTTCTTTAATAACTTGTGAAATATAAAAGCTAAATTGTCTAAATTTTGTGTGGATTTACATTTACATACATTTTTAAAGTATTTTTGTTTTATAATATACTGGTTAACTACTTTCTATTGCCTTTATCCAAACAGAACTTTTTTCTCACACAATGCTGTTTATATTTGATAAATTGCTATATTTACAAAGACTTTGTCTTTAGTTCTTTTCATGTCTTGCAAGTTTGTTACATTAAAAATAAACTTACAATATTACATAAAATAAGAAAAATAAACAAAATTTGCGTTTAGGTAACGTACCTCACAGCAAACGGAAAATTATAGAAGTGTATAGGATGACGCCACGTTTGAATATAGTTTTCTAAATCTCCCCACGGTATAGATTTGTATTCGTCAGTCGAGCGTTTCAATACTCTTCACAGTATAGAGGTCGTAATTTCACTTTTGAACTAGTATTAATATAAAAATTATTTTATGCTTAAAAAAAACTATATACGACATGATTGTGATTTTTTTCATTTTATTAATTAATTAAGCTGTGTTGAATTGTCTTTTGCCAATGGGCCATTAATTCATTTGTTCGTAGATGCTACAATAACCTGCACTGGTGTGTACTTTTTCATCAACCAGATTTATATATTGCTGTACTAACATATACCAGAGATAGTGCAGGGTCTACCAACAGACCTCATTACTAAATTATTAAAGTTTAATAGCATATCGATCATTTTTTCAACATAACCTCTGAAATTTTTAATACAAATATAGGTACTTTATATAATACATAAATATACTTAACATCATATCCTCTGTGCTTTACATACCTGAGTTGTTACGGTAAATAAAAATCAGACAAAGGAACCAAAGAAAGGAACTATTTTCAACAAAATCATATGCAGAAATGAGAAAATTCAAACTACTTGCATCCATCAAAAGATCAAAACTTCTTGCAATATTACACCCTCTTTTTATACTCTCAGAAATATTGACTAGAACAGTATTAGAGAGACTCCAGTTTCTATAACTTGGTAGAGTAAAGAGAAGTCGAAATCGTTGCGATATTGCATTGCGCTGTTTTTGTATAATTCTCGGGGACATTAACGAAAATCATTGCCAGTAAAATTCGAAAAGCTTGAGTTTCTATGTCTCTGAAGAGAATAGGAATCCGAAGTTGCTGCACCATTGGACTGAACCCTTTTTTAATAATTTCTAGAGACATAAATGACTGCACCATTCGACAGGGTCGAGTTTCTACCTCTCTGTTGAATATAGAAAATCAAAATAATTTATCTTGTAAGACACCATTGACTTTGACTTTAAATATAGTCGTGCATAGGTATGAAGCCGAAAAATATAAAAACAAAGCACGATTCAATACAGTTCTGATAAAACTTTAAAATTTAATATTCAAACGCGGAGTCATCCTATACAGTTCTATATTTTTCCGTTTGCTGTGCTGTAAATGAGTAATCTCCATCTCCAAATATGATGTCAAAATCATTCTCATTGACATGGTATTTCTTTTTATTGCCGTATAATTATGCAAATAAAATTATGTTTTTAAACATTTGTCAATATCTTGTACATAATTGTACAAGCAGGGGCGGATGGGCTCCGGCGGGACGCCGGGACTGATCCCGGTGGGCCGCTATGTCAGATTGGCCGAATGGACATCTAGACTGGCCCATTATAAAAATATAAAAATACAACACTTATGAAAATTTCACCCCATATAATTTCACATAAAACTTCGTAATTTATATTGGTTTTTTGAATTTTTTTAAGAAATAATAAATTTTAAATACATATTTTAAAAATTTAACGAGTATTTGTTTTTTGTCACATAATAATTTCTATAGTCTGTTCATTTTAAAAACTCACTATATTAAACGTTTTTATAAAAAATATGTATTTTAAGGTTATTTTTCAGTATCTTAAGTAAAAATTCTAATAACCCAAAACCCCCCGTGTGCATGGGCCTGGTTTATACTAGTTTGTGTTTCATTAGATTATAAAAGGGTACAATTTTTAGAAAAATAAACATTAGTAAGAGGGTAGATTTTTGTATGATTTTACATATGAATATTCTTTGAAAATGCCTTCTAAACAAAAATTTTGTAAAATTTTATTTTGTTATCCATGTAATACTTGGATTTGCATAATGCTGGGTTTGCCTGTCTTAAAAAATTAAAATAAATACAAATAGGTGAGTTAAGGGGGCAATTGCACCCATTGGTCCCCCCTGTATCCGCGCCTGACTCTTAAATTTTTGCATAATGCTGTGTTTGTCTGTCTTGGAAAAAAATTAAAATAAAAACAAATAGTTGAGTTAGGGGGGGGGGGGCAATTGCACCCATTGGTTCCCCTGTATCCCCGCCTTAAATTTTAGATTTTTAGTGTTCAAAGAGAAAAATTTTCACTTTACTTGTTTCATTCAGGAGCGGGGCGCAGGATTTCCTCGTGGAGCCCCCCCACCATCAAATATAGGGCCGTCCATGAATCTCGTAAAGCTGGAGGGGAAATCATATAAAATTGCTTATTCATCCCTTTTTTTTGTCAGATCGAGAACAAAAAATCGGAAAAAATAAGTTAGGGGGTAGCGGGTTCGATAATTCGATAATCTTCACAGTGTCGTCCCAGCCTCCTGCCAACCCAAATTAAGATAATTCAAGTGGTACAATATTTAATTCACTGAATTTTATCGACAAATTTTAAATTTTATTAAAAAAATTCAAGTACCTATAACAGATTTTATACCATTTTTATTTTTTTTTTATTTAGTAAAAGAAATAATATACACTGGCGAAAGAAATTAACGCATCACGATAAATTTATCATTATTTTGTTGTTAAATATTTTCCAAACCAATCATTCGATTTTGATGTTTTTTTTTTGGATTGTGTAACGACTCTTATTAGAAAATCTTATTATGACTTTAGTTCTTTTATAAATCTTTGTTTCTTTTATATACGGGGTGTTATACTGATACTTGATTTTTTTTTTAAATTTTCAAACACTCTGTGTATTAAAGTAGCAGTAATAGCAAATCCTAAAAAGGATAAAACTATAGCCTTATCTAGCCCTACCATTCTCTTTTTTTATTCACCTTTTTATCTCTTTGATTAAAGGAGATACAAATTTTAATAACACTGCATGTTTTATTTACCTTTTTATACACATTTTTGTCAAATTTATGACATTTCAAAGGAAATGTCAATATTTTATAATGAATGTCAGAATGAACGTGCTTCATCAGAATCGCATCTTAAGTTTTGAAGATTCTGTGCGTGCGGTAACTCTTTCGGAAGATGGTAGAAGTCAGCGTTTTATCGCTCAACGTCTTGGAGTCAATCAATCGACTATATCTCGAATCCTGCGGCGGTATCATGAGACTCAAGTGCACGTAAGAAGACCAGGTCAAGGAAGAAGACGAGCCACAAACGATGTCCAAGATCGATTTTTGTTGTTACAAACGTTAAGGGAACGGTTTATTACAGCACCAAGATTACAAAATATCCTGGAAGAGACACATAATATTCGTGTAAGCAGTGTAACGATACGAAAGCGGCTACGTGAATTTAATTTAAGACCCAGAAGACCTGCAACAGGCCCTCAATTAAACGCAGAGCATCGCAGAGCCAGATTAACATTTGCTCAAGAACACGTTAACTGGTTAGAGGCTGATTGGGCCAACGTTATGTTTACTGACGAATCCAGATTTTGTCTCCATAGCAGTGATAAACGGATGAGTGTATATAGACGGCCAGGTGAACGTTATGCTCAATGTAACATTGTTCAAACAGTCATGTTTGGTGGAGGCTCTAGTATGGTGTGGGGAGGCATCACTGCAGAGGCTCGCACGGAGTTGGTGGTAATTCCAAGAGGAAGTGTCACGGCAGTTTCTTACATTGAAAACATTTTAGAACCTATCTTAATGCCTTTTGCACCCTTTGTCGGTGATAATTTTATTTTTATGCATGATAATGCTAGACCGCATACGGCCAGGATTGTACAACAATATCTTGCCGAGGTTAATATTCCAACAATGCGTTGGCCAGCCAGAAGTCCGGATCTTAATCCAATAGAACATATCTGGGATATTATGGGCAAACGGTTAAGAGAACTTCCTCGTCAACCCATTAATCAACAAGAACTGGGAGAAAGGCTACAACAAATTTGGGAAAGTATCGACCAAGATGAAATAAGAAATTTAATTTTTAGTATGAGGCGTCGATGTGAGGCTGTAATTCGTGCAAGAGGAGGAAACACTAAGTATTAGTTACTGTGTTGTGTAAATACAATAGATAATTTTTGCTAATTATGTTAATTGTTAAATGTATTAAACCTTAAGATAAATAATATTGACATTTCGTTTGAAATGTCATAAATTTGACAAGACGCCACAGCCTGTTTTCTTTAATGTGTATAAAAAGGTAAATAAAACATGCAGTGTTATTAAAATGTGTATCTCCTTTAATCAAAGAGATAAAAAGGTGAATCAAAAAAGAGAATGGTAGGGCTAGATAAGGCTATAGTTTTATCCTTTTTAGGATTTGCTATTACTGCTACTTTAATACACAGAGTGTTTGAAAATTTAAAAAAAAATCAAGTATCAGTATAACACCCCGTATATAAAAGAAACAAAGATTTATAAAAGAACTAAAGTCATAATAAGATTTTCTAAGTGTCGTTACACAATCCAAAAAAAAAAACATCAAAATCGAATGATTGGTTTGGAAAATATTTAACAACAAAATAATGATAAATTTATCGTGATGCGTTAATTTCTTTCGCCAGTGTAATTTAAAAGGGTATAAAAC